AGAGAGAGAGAGAGAGAGAGAGAGAGAGAGAGAGAGAGAGAGAGAGAGAGAGAGAGAGAGAGAGAGAGATCCTGATGAATGTCTAACATAGTTCATAGCAGTGCTCTCAACAGAGAGGCTGGACTGGAAGAGTGACATGGTACATCAAGTGCAACATTGCCAAAGTTCATTGATGTGAACATAGAATACTGCACTCCAGATGCACAGTCCCTGCACTGGGGAGCAGCCTAAAAACTCCTCCACATTGAGAAAGGTCGAGCAGGGCTGAATGCCTGTCGAAGGTTGGGTGGTCTAAGTTCCGGGATCAGGAAGCTGTAAACCTGAGAACACTGCCGCAGGGCATGGGTCCTGATCGTCAGTGCTCTAAATCCCCCTTGCACTCACTCTTCGTGTCAGTCTATCATGGAATCCATAGTTTTTGCTTCAAGAATTCATTCACTACCTATGAACTCCAGCATTTATGAATGTCCTCTCCCACTACCCTATTTGACTTACGAAGGGTTTACAGTTCAGGTTTCGATGAGTTTTTATTGAGCCACCGATGCTTGTCTGTTAATCCTTATGATAACAAAGGCTTGCATAGTGAGTTCAAGATTTTACACACTTTGCTCAACAGGTTCTTCACAACTGTTACGTTTCTAACTTTCTAGTGTTCACCTTTTTCCCTTACAAACAGGTGGAAGGAAGCAGGGATGCGAAGAGAAAAAAGCAGTGGTGGATAAGTGACTTCACCCCATCTTCCCCATCCTTGGGTGTCCCCGGTCCTTGGTCATGATCACCCACACCTGGGCCACCATTCTGCTTCTGACCATCCTTTGCACTGTTCAAACTTTTGTCACGCGCCATGTCTAGAAGGTCTTTGGCGTCTCTCCTAGTCTCTGAATCTTCTTGAACCTTGCCAGGATCGTTTTTTTCCTTGCTCACTTGCCTCGCCGCATCCTCATTTCTGGTTCCTTTGCTGTCTTTTGGGTTCTCCTGACTACGTGGAGGCACTGGAGAGCCCTTTGGTGCAACCTCAGGCGCTATGCTGAGGTTCCCAGACCTTTCAACCTGGGACTCCTTGCCCAACCGCCCACTGGTGGGTTCTTTTCTCAAATCAATGCCTTTGTGGGCTATGACTCCATTTGAGGTTTTTCCCGGTGTCGTTGTTGTTCTTCCAGAAACTTTGCCTGCCAGTGAAACAACAGACACACAATGCAGGCACAAATGTCACTTTCCATCACAAGGACAATTGCACCTCTTCCATCACAGGGGGACGAAACCTTTGTCTCCATCCTCCTTACCACATCTCACGATATCAAGCACAGAAACGCATTTGCACTGCAATGCTCGCTCAACAAGCCGTGTTTTATGTCAAAGAAACCGTCCTTGAATAACTCCAATACTGCTACACTGTCCTACACATTCATTGATTGCTATAATAGCTGGTTCCGGACATTTGCTTCATTTGTTTCTTTTCCCTTCTGTCTTGTCCATTCTTCAGCTGGGTGTTAAGGCGTAGACAGCAAAAGCTACCTGAAAATGTAATCCGTCATTGCATCTATTAATGGATTAGGCACATGTAACGATCGGGGATAGCAAATTCCTCTTCCACCCCGTCCCTACTCTACTGTTTGCCCCTCCCCCAAAATCCATAGTGAATGCAGCCCACACCTGGATCACATACCTTCCATTACCTATCCCAGTCATCATTTGTGTATACAGTACATAAAAGACCTCGCCCGTCTTTTTTTTTTTTTTTTTTTTACAAGAAAACAGAGCCTTATAGCTCTGGCTTCTTCTCCATTCTGAGGAGCATCAGTACGGTTCCTATTCCACCGGCAAGTCAAAAAGAACAGATTACAACGCGCTTGAGAGACACTTTTCCCCATTATGGCTGGGAGACCTGAGTGGGCGGCATTGATTATGTCCAGACTGTACCTCCCCTCACCCCTGTGCAATGACTTGCTGATTCTGCAGCCTGCGACCCGTCGACCCGACGCTGTAACATAGGTAGGTTAGATTTGTATTTTTGTTTGGCTGAGGGCTAACCGAGATATCTGACTGTAAGGGAAATTCGTGAGGGACATATCTGCAAATTTGGGAAAAATTATTCAAAAATATAGGCCCGTACTAACTTCAATTCCTACAGCTACCCTAACTGCGAATAGCAGACCTGGGCTACCACTAGGACAGACAGGCCGCGAAGCCTAAGCTGTTAGACTGGTCCTATAGCCTATAGCCGGGTAGGGAAAGGCCCTGGAGGCCGAAACGGAAACGGTACCGGTCGGTCCAGTCAGTCCGGTCTAGGTCGAGTCTAGGCTCTAGTAGGACTATGAATAGATTGTAGACGTCTGTTCAGGGCTTTTGGCAGTTGGTACCGTGCACATCGCGGGATGCAACGCGTGAACTGGAGTGGTGCAGCTTCAGTGGTGAAGGAGACAGACATAGCCAGAGCCTCGAAGCATCGACCATAGCTGCATCCTTCGCTATTCTCTGACAGCACCTGGGGCTGTCCAGAGGTCCGGGCTATCTGAGGTCTGCTGGGAGCAGGAGAAGTTGGTGCCCTGCTGAATCCTCCTCAGGAGTAGGGTTTCAGGATAGTGGCGCTGCAGCCATAGCTGCGGCTTGTGTCCTCAGAGATCATCTTTGTCAGGAGAGGTGGCGCTGCTGAAGATCTTCACCTGGGAGGCCTTCTGGCACTTCTTCATCATCAGAGCCTGTGGCGCTGGTCTTCTTCTTCATCCTCTGAGAGGCGCTTGGCCTCAGAGGCCTGTTTCATGGTGGCACTTCCCTCTGGAGGCAGGTGGCACTAGTTGTTTCAGGGACCCAGGGGTAGTGATAGCGGTTATTCAGGGTTGGGGGAAGAAGTGCTGCTCATTTCTGAGCAGCGCGCCATGGTTCTGGGGCAATTCTGACAAAAACGATGTTCTGAGTTTAATAAACAGTATTACTACTGTGTGTGGACTATCTTTGCTTCATTGTTTTCTGGATGTGATCTACTCCGCTTTTCTTTGTGACTGGTTGTGAGGATTCTGTGGAGTGAATTGCACTTTCAGTGTACTCTGTCATATCGCATGGTTAAGTCTTCCACTGTGTTTCTCTCTCCCTGTGCGGTGTGATACTCCCATCCTCTCCCCTTCCTTCTGTGTATGTATGGGCATACCTGGAAGTCTATGTGAGCGAGTGTTGGTCTTTTGACAACAAGCAACCAGGTTCATAACACCTGCCTAATTAAGCCTATTGATACTAAAACCCTTGCCGACTGGCTCCTATCAGTACATGTCTGTTCCTTCATCAAAAGATTTACCATAACGAAGCTAGGAAGAGGGAGCCTAGGCATGATAGAGGGGAATAGATTAGTCCTAAACAATTTGTTAACCCTGCAAATCAACAGTCAGAGACCAGACTTCACCACGGGAGCATCCCAGGGCTTAACGGACAGAACAGACAACAACAGGCCACAATGCCAATTAGATGAAAATGCAAGGAATATGAGCAAGAGAGATAGACAGAAAACCAAGTTGCAAAATCACACAGATGTCCAGATAGTCATGTACCAAGCAGAGAGCTCAAATGCACCAAGATTCCATCCAAATAAGAGCAAAGCAGTGAACTTGTGTGTCAATGTTATCGCCCTCAGGTCCCACCAACACAGTATCCAATGTCGCTCATCTCTGTCTGGCGCCCAGCGCCCAGCCTACTCTACTTTGCCTACCTAACCTATCTACATTCTTGCAACAGGATCACTCTGACGTTGAAGACCCATGTACATGACATCAACACCAATGCCGACCTTCCACATACACCAGGTACATCTCTCTCCTAACCTCATCAGACCTTGGCCACCCACTCATGCGCCTCCTACCCAAAGACCACCTTCGCCCATCACCCGCATGCGCCCCCTGCAGCCCTGCTATGGCTGTCGTGCGCCCGCTGCCCTGCAGTGCCCCTCCCACCTCATAGCGCCCGCGTGCGCCCGAGACAGCAACGCACATGCAGATACTTGTGCAGCAGCGTGTCCGCATTGCCTGCCTAGGCCAGCATGCCAGCCTCTGGCCAGCGACCTCCCTATATGGAAGTCACGGCCCTGTTTGGCTGCGAGGGCCTGGCTGAGGAAGCTCCCAGTAACTTCCACTCGGGCCCCAGTGTCTGCGTCCAGGCCCTGTCCAGCAGTTGGGGGCATGGGCGCTTTCTGGTTGGGCACGTCCAGGCAGCCTCCAGGCGCCAAGTGTTTGCCGTCTTCTAATTGGCTTGCTCGGCTTTTGTGACGACAATGCCGCTTTCTGATTCGCCCGTGGCCACTTCGTGATGTGTTGGCCTCTCACTGCGTGTGCCCAGGGCTCAACCACCCAGCCTTGGGCTCAACTGCTTAGCGCAGCTGCTGTTTCTGGAAGGAGCCCAGGGAGAGGCTCACGCTGCATTTCAACCAACTGGCGTGCTACAACTGTCTGATACCCATTTAGGAAAATGCTGGGATAAGGGCCTCTCATGGATATTCAGGCCCGCCTTCAGTTAGGGTGGCACAATGCTTGCTGGTGGCCATAGCCCAGATCATGTGCATGTTGGCTAGGGCCCCGTGAGGGCACATTCCTCATATTCCATCCCTCTCAGCTTCGAAAGTCCTCTGAGATGCTTCTTAAGCAGGAGCCTTCCCCTTTAACCTTCTTTCATAATCTGCCATGAGTTGAGGTGCTGTTTGAACCAGTTCCTCTCTCCTGAACCATCGGTCTTCTTTTGGATGACGTGTTGTTTGAACCAGTTCCTCTCTCGTGAACCATCGGTCTTCTTTTGGATGACGTGTTATTTGAACCAGTTCCTCTCCCGTGAACCATCAGTCTTCTTTTGGATCCGTGTGATGCTGACACAGTACTCCCTCTTGGGTTTCGGTGGTCTTCCTCTACCCGTAGATTTGGGAACAGGCATATCTTTGTGCTCCAAAATGTCGTCGATGTCCACGTGGCCATCCATGGTTGGGGGCAGATTTGATCTCCTTGATGGGAATTGTTGTGTCTCAGCGAAAGATGCAAGCTTAGAGGCGTGAAACACAGGGTAAGTACCCAAGTGACCAGGGATTCGAATAACGTACGAGGGACCGTCCAACTCACTACCCACAATATCCAAGATTTCCCAAGGACCAAAGTACTTAGGCATTAGTTTCCTAGAGATGCCGAACTCCTGTCCTAGCTACCAGACATGTTCCCCTACCTGAAATGTGGACTGTCGTCGATGTTTGTTCTCAGAAGCAATCATTGCTTCTTGAGATTTCTTAATGTGTTCGACAGCCTGCTGCAACAACTTCTCATACTGGACACCAAATTCTATGGTCCCAGGAGTTGCAGGGGATTGGTTCTCGGGCAGGAGGAAGTCTAGAGCAGATCTAGGCTTCCACCCCAAATGCAGCTGATTCGGACTGATGCCGGTGGTGTTGTGTACAGCGTCGTTGTACAAACTGGCGATGAGAGGCAACTTCTCATCCCAGTCGTCTTGGTTGGGCTTGATGTAATGCCTCAGCAGATGCTGCACCACAGGGTTCATCTGTTCAGCTTGACCGTTGGCTTCGGGATGATTCCCCAAAGTCATTTGGAGTTGGCTGCCCATCTGTTCAGCAACCTTTTTCCACATCTCGCTAGTGAAACGAACATCTCTATCACTAACGATGGACTTGCGTATTCCGAAATCATGCACCCAGTCATCCATAAATAACTTGATGACGTGATCCACCCTCGCGGTTTCCGACATGGCAATTAGTCTAGCATACTTAGTCAACCTATCAACTATGACGAAGATGTGCCTCTTGCCACTCCTACTCGTCACGAGTGTGTCCATGAAGTCCATGGATACGCTTTGTCCGGGGCCGACAAGAATGGGCAACGACTTGAGTAACCCAAGCGGAGCTTGAGTTTGCGGCTTGTCCCGCTGACAGACTTGACAAGTCTATACGTACTTCTTTGCTTTGTCGAGCATACCAGGCCACCAAAAACTTTTGTACTAAATTAGCATTCGTCTTTTTGTAGCCGAAGTGTCCTGTTGCGTCGTCACACTCGCCTGAAAATAAACAATGCAAATTTCACTAGATGGAACAACCAGTCTTTTAAATTCTGCCTTTTTAAGAAAGAGTAACCCATCCACCATGACAAACTCATCTGATGTGGCCTTATCTCTAGCCTCAAGTTTACGTATGATGTCCATCGTGATGGGGTCTTCGTTGTAGGCTCTCACCAAGGGTCGAGTTACATCATCTTATAGGTCAATCTCAGTAATCAACGCACCCAGGCAGTCTGCCCTACGTGACAGCGCATCAACAACCTTGTTGTAGTCTCCATTCACGTAATCTAGCTTGAAGTCATATTGGTCTATGACTTCAATCCAGCGCCTGAGTGCGTCACAGAGGACAGGTTGTGCCTTAATCCACTTGAGTGTCTGATGGTCAGTTCTTAGGTAGAAAAACCTTCTCAACACATAGTGTCTCCAATGGACAAGTGCTTTGAAGAGGGTGTAGAGTTCGCTTTCGTAGATGGACGTAGCCAACTTCTCTGATGGCATCTTCCTGCTCATGTACTCGATCGACCTCAACTTGTTCCCTTCCTGTTGAGTCAGCACTACGCCAAGGCCATATTTGCTTGCGTCAGTGGTCACAACGAATGACCTTTGAAGATCAAGAACCATGACAACCTCATGATGCATGAGGGCATGCTTCAGTCTTTTGAAAGTTGCATCACATTTGTCTGTCCATTCCCATGGCGTGTCAAGGCATGTAAGATCAGTCAGAGGGGCGGCCACCGTACTATAATTCTTCGCAAAGTTGCGATATTAGTCGGTCATCCCTGAAAACGATCTGACCTTGGTCACAGACTGAGGTCGTGGCCAGTCACGAATGCTAGCCACCGTGACATCTTCGGGCCTAATCCCTTCCGCGGATATCTCATGACCCAAGTACAAGATTTTAGTGCGACCGAACTCACATTGTTCCAAATTTATCTTATACTTGTGTTGCCATAGGAGTGAAAGTACTTTTTCTACATGCCGAGCATGCTCCTCAACAGTTCTACTGAAGATAAGGATGTCGTTGAGGTACACGACGATAAACTTATCCAAGTAGTCATGGAATATGATATTCATGGCGTGCTGGAATGTGCCCGGCGCATTGCAAAGGCCAAAGGGCATCACCACAAACTCGTACAGACCGAAAATCAGTTTTGTGTTGGTCCTCTGGTCTAATGGCAATCTGATGGTAGCCGCATTTTAAGTCTATCTTGTTGAAGTACTTACACCCCTGCACCCTATCCAGTAGGTCGTCGATGCGTGGTAGAGGCTCTGCGTTTTTAACTATGATGACATGGAGGCCTCCATAGTCAATGCACATCGCCAATGATCCCCCCTTCTTCAGTACAAATAAAACGGGTGAGCTGAAGGGGTATCCAACCCTGTTATGTAAGCTCTTTCAGTTGGCGCCGAAGTTCGTCTAACTCGGCCGGTGTCATCCTATAGATTCTTCCTTTGGGTATCTTGCTACCTAGAATAATCTTTATGGCTTGGACAACCTCCCTATCCACGAATCCTAAAGGCTCTTCAAACAGATTGGGGTACTTAGGGACGATGGATTCTATCTCGGGGGGTGATTTAATGACCTCCTCTTTCTCAGAGACGAACACTAAGTACATACCCTCCGAATCAATCAATCAATCAATCAATCAATCAATCAATCAATCAATCAATCAATCAATCAACCAATCAATCAATCAATCAATCAATCAATCAACCAATCAATCAATCAATCAAAAAACAATCAAGCAGTCAATATTTTTTTTTTCTATTTTTTTCTATTTTTTTCTATTTTTTTCTATTTTTTTTTTTCACATACAAAAAATGACCTCCCCGAAAATTATTTTTTTAAGTTTTTTTTGTTCAAGGGGGTAGGGTCAAGGTTCCAGAACCCCAATCCGCAACCTCGACCCCCAACCCCTGTTCCCCTCGGCAGTTGCGGGGCCGCAGCAGACCACGGTCATCGCTGCCGCGGGTGTTTCATAGCTTGGTTTTGTTTATAGTAGTTATATAACGACGGTGCACACAAGCAACCATAGAAACTAACATCCTAGCCTTGTACTTAGCTAGTCTAACGGTTCTCCCATTAGGCAACTCATGCTTTAGCACTTTCTTGTCCCAATCAAACTGGAGCTTAGCAACCTCGAGGTAGTACATACCTAATAACATGTCAAACGGCAACTCGTTGCTGACTAGGAACGAATCTTATGATTTAGTTCCCCACCTCCATAAGAGAAGGTGCAGCCCACGTCCCCGACGAGTTCCTCTACCAACATGCGCTCTTTGTTGGCCAAAGTAGATGCTACAGGTCTACACAGGCACTACACCCGGTCCTTTAGGCGCAGTCTCTCAATGCAGTCGCAACTTATGAAGTTTCGTGTGGAGCCGATGTCTACGAAGGCACCACACTTGTGGCCACCTACACCAACTTCCACTACGAAATGCTCCCTTTTAGGACCACTACTTAGTGCCACGGAAGACTCACGAGGGTCCCTTGCCGACCACTCACTTTCTAGGTCCTCTAAGGCCTCAGACACATCCAACGAACAAAGTATTGTTGGGTCAGGATGCATCTGCGGGGTGACGAAAGAGTCAATAGCTTCTCCCAACTCTTGAAGTGGGGAGGGTACATCGCCCACTCCATCAGGAGTAGGAGCAGGTACAACTTCTACTGGCCCGATGTGTTTTCGAAACTAGAGCACGTAGAAGCCCCACCTTGGGAAGAATAACTGCCCAAACCACCTTTGGGATGTGTCTTTTGTGATACCTTCGCATTCTTGCACCTAAACTGCTGATGGTCGTACTCGCCGTAGTTAATACAAGCTCCTTGCTAATAACGGTCTCGCCACACATCTTGATCCAGACCCGCCCTTACCCAAACTAGAGTCTTGTTCGAGTTTTGGGTCTGCCCCAGACTCTTATGTTGACCGCCCTTGCTATCGCCTGTTGCCTTAATTTTACTAGGGAAGCGAGATTGCTACCCTCAACACTATCCTCATTTCCAAACTCCGTTTCGACCACAAGGTCGGAAACATCGTCGATCTCGGTTTGATTTTCGTCGAAATCAACCATCATCAATCAACTACCCTTTTTTTTCCACTCTTGTGGACCCTTCTTCTTTCTTCCATCAATCGAGGGTTGTTGGGCTCCTCCTAGCCTAGACTCTAAGTATAAGGCCTTCTTGCTAAAGGAGTCCAGAGTGTGATATTCAATGTTGGCCTCGCTGACCAGCAAGTTCTTGACGTTTGTGAGAAGACATCTCAAGAACATGGTCATTAAGACCTGCGAATCGTAAAAAACGTCAGGGACAACAATGAGACGCTCCACGGCAGAGGTCAATTCTCGCGTGGACTTTTACTTTTTAGTATCGAGTCGGGTAAACGCTTCAGTGGCCTGCAAGGCTTGCTGAGGGTTGTGCCATCGCGTTTCTTCCAACTCCATGAAGCTCTCCAAAGTATGGGTCTTGGCCCAATCCTTCATTCACCTGCCGAACCCTTTCCAGGCTACCAATCCATCCAGCCATCGGGCTGCCGATCCCTCAAGAAACGAGGCGGCAGTGATCACCTGTTCCTCGGACAGCGTCCTCTTCGCCCTCACCAACATTGGCACCGTTCTCAACCAAGTGTCGAGAGCCTCATCCTTCTTATCACCCGAGAATGTTGAGGGTGGTTTCAGTGGAGTCTTGAGGTACCAAGGCTGCTGTTGTCCCATGGGTGGGACCGACTGCTGTGTAGTGGCAAGTGCTGGACCTGAAGGGTGAAGAAGCAGCAGTCTGTGTTGCTGCTGAAGTACCGCTTGGTGAACTGCTAAACTGAGACATAGTGGGACCTGTCATCACCAGTGAAGAGATCGGTGATGGAAAAGCTGAGGGCCGGAAACCGGGCCCGCCTGTTGGAGATGTGAAAGCCCTTAACATCCTCTGCATGGTACTCAGTATCATGGAGCCCAGGGCCCCAGGGCGAGGGGCCCGGGGTAAGCGTTAGGAAAAGACAATGAGGGTTGAGGGAGTAGACAAAACTAGTAAAAGGCAGGCCAGCTAGCGGATCCAGCAGTACACAAAAATTTGAAAGCCAAATAGCTGAGAGGCACAAGCTACGAATGGCCTCCACTCGTAGACCACAAGATAGAAATGTAGAATAGTGCAGTATCCCAGGACAACAGTAATCCAATGAGGCTAACTTAGGCAGGGGTGAAGGGTGGTATTGTGGTACATCCTTCCTGCGGGAAGTAATCGGTGCTTCCCTTCAGGCCTTCCTACCATAAGGGGGAGGAGCTTGGGTGAGTTAGCTATGTAAGTTTCCTGACTCGCCGGTGGAATTGGAATCGGACCGACGCTCCCCAGAATGTAAAAGAAGCCAGAAGAAGAAGAAGAAGAAGAAGAAGAAGAAGAAGATGGGGAGTCCAGTGCTGTTGGTGTTTTGCGAAGAGCAAATATATTTTTGCTCGTGTGGTTAGTCATGTGTTCCCAGGAAGGCAATGCACATGGACCCATACAATATAGTCGACTTGGAACTGCCGCCCTTAGGCAGTCAAAACGTCCAAGAGGGACGTTCGCAGCATCAGCTAAGGCTATTCAGCAACAGACTGATTTGGATCCTCATCAATTGGAAATAAGTTCAAATAACTTCAAATAAGTCCTCAGTCTGAGCTCCTTCTTATGAGTCACGTGCTGATCACACCATTCTCTTCGGTTAAACACCAGTATATCCCAGCATCTTTTGCCGAGATGTATTCCCCTGCATGCCAAGCTTTGCCACAACGCCAGCGCGACCCTTTTTCTTTTCTTTATGTGTACACACACACACACACACACACACACACAGAGGTGTCGATGGACTCTCTCTCTCTCTCATTCGCTGGTGCGCGCACAGGCTATCGGATTTTCTGCTTTTTTTTCGCCATCTTTTTAATTGGTCCCGAAGGACCATCCTGCTCAAGCGCACATCTGCTCCCTCACTCTCCTGCCTTCCCACCATCTCTCTCTCTCTCTCTCTCTCTCTCTCTCTCTCTCTCTCTCTCTCTCTCTCTCTCTCTCTCT